AAAAATCTGCTAAAAAAAAAAAAACCCAAAAAAAAAAAAAAAAAACAGAGAAAGAACATACCATCCATATATCTTCTGAAAGTTACAATTTATTTTACAGATGGGAGAAGATTTAAGCTACTGCAGATAACAAGTATGAAAAAAGTTCAGAGAACAGAAAGAAAGAGGAACTGAAGAATATATGCTCTATCCAAGGGTGAATGCTTTTCATAAGAATATTTTACCATAAATTAATGTTTTTGCCATATAGTAAAAAACACTATTTCTTGTAAAAGGGATATTGTGGCAACTACAGGGCAGCACAATGTAGCAAACTTTGACCTAACTACAGATCCCTAAACATATTAGATCCTTTCCACAAGGAACATTCTATTTGGAAAGGAAAATAAAGTCCCAAAGAAGAAGAAGAAACTATTAGGTTTTAGCATAATCGGGAAAAGAATGGGACAGAACAAGGAATCTGGACAGAACAAGGAAAAAGGAATGGGACAGAACAGGTTTATTCAGTTCACTCAGCAAAAATTATTCTAATAACTCAAACTGACCAACAAAAACAGTCTACAGAATTTAGTATAGATCAGTATGTAAATGAATGATGTATCAAGGATAACAAAGAAGATCTGCATCTAGAAGACAACATGAGAAAGGAACTTTCTGTATGCCAATCTGCTGTACAGTAGTCTGAATGCAGCAATATTGATCTAATCTAGCCTAATGTTGTGAAGCTTCCAATTAAAAAGAAAAACAAAGAATTCTCTAAGGATTCCAGGACGGAAAAGTATGAAATAGAGAAATGTAGAGTGAAATGGTTATTTCCCCCAGTCCCATTTCATTCTGTGCTGGGCTTCAATCAATATACAATTTTAGGGCATATACAATACCCCAGAAACATTTTCCCTAAAATTAAGTCAGCTGCAAATCAGTAGTTTTAAAACATTTGAGAAATATCAGAAATAAGTTTGTACAACTTTGTTCACACACTTGACTAAATCTGAGCTTCAAAAATGTAAATTAATTTTTGTATATAAAAATTCAGAACTGATCTGGAATACATTCCTATTCTTATTCTTATTGTTTCTCAGAGTACTGTAGGAACAAGAATTTTTTCTTGAACAACTGATTTTCAAGGGCTTTATAAAATAATGCAGCATTAGTACAAAACACGATCAAGACTTCTTGGACTTCCACATGATCTTTAAATTTGGTGGAGTTCATTTAGAGATCATATGGAAGTGATTATGTCATGTGATAATGCTACGTTATTTTATGAAGCCCATGAAACATCAATTATTAATGGACTTATGCAAAAAAATTATTAATAAATATCAATTAATAAG